GTCGCATACGCTCGTGGCTTGCGGCGCAGAAAAGCTGAGGTGGACGATGGCGTTCTTGCGTCTTGCCCGCGCCGGCCCCCGTTGCCCCTGGGCAGCCCTGATCTCCGCGCCTCACTCTCAGGGCGCCAATGCCATCGACGGCGGCGGTTTGGGCGTCGTCTCCAGGCGCTGCCCGGTAGACGCCGCAAGGCGCTGGGACAGCCAGAGCGAGAGGTGGTGCTTCGCGGTCGAGGACGCCGTCGACGCCTGCGGGAGCGCCGCGTCCGCGGGCGGGGGCGAGCTCGCGGGCGTGGACCTCTCGCCGGGCGACTTCAGGCCTGAGCTCTGCGACGTCGCACGGGGGCGAGATCTAGGAGTTCTCCGACGGGCATGGCGGTGGGGGGGCGCTGGGGTGCTAGCCGGGGAAAGTGCAGGCGGCTTGGATTCGTGGGTCGACTATGCCATGTCGAGGGTGTTTTCGCGCCCTGTGTCTTGCGACCCATGCCTCCTGAAGTTCCGCGGCAACGTGGCCCTCGGAAGGGTATTGCGTCCTCTCGCGCGCCCTCTCCAAGCATTTCCGATTGCCGTTCCTGGGAGGGCCGCGCCACCGTCATTGTTGTCAGAAATCTTCTTCGGCACGTGCATCGCAGCGCGCGTCGTCGCCATCCCTGGGGGCAACGCGGGGCCCATCTTGGCTCGGAGGAAGGGGCGGGCCAGCGGCGCTACAAGTAATCGGAATTGTCGAGAAAAGTTGCAGCTTTCTCATTGTGACCGGATTCAGAATTTCCACCCGCGTCGTTGCCGTCGGAGCCCAGTCCGTCTGACGCAGCGCTCAGGTTCGAGACCGGGCCGCCAGTTCGGAGCGGGGGCGAGCCCGGAGACGTTCGCGAGCAGTGGGCGCCACGAGGCGCCGCGGCGCGCGACGCGTTCGAGCCAGCTTTTGGGTGGCTCGCCAGGCGCGGGCTCGATGGGCAGGCCCTCCCGGAGTTTGGCGACGGGCCCCGCGGCAGGAAGGCCACCCTGGCGCGCTGGGCGCACCTGGTCGTGACCTCTGCATTGGCGGCGAGGGCGGCCCAGACGGCGAGGGCACGAGCGACGCCGACAGCGAGGTGGCTGGCGACCTCACCAACGAAGAGGCCCGCGCCAGAGGCCGAGTGCAATTCGGCGACGCCGCAGCGGGCCACGCGCCAGAGCGCAGCGCGCCAGATGGCGACAATCGGCGCCCCTCGCGCAGGCCCAGCAGAGCCGAGCTTTGGTCCGCACTTCGCGGATGTCAACTTGGCTTCGAGGCTCCTGGCGACGATGTGCGGCAGGTATTCGGGGCCGCCAGAAAAAAATACGCCCAGCGGGGCGGGGCTGAACGGCGAGGGGGGCATCGTTTCGGGCGCTCCCGAGTTCCTGGGGGACCTCCACTCCAATGGCCGCCACCGCGACGCGCGCGAGGAGGCGGCCGCGGCCGCGGAGCACCGCGCCCAGGGCATCCGGAGAGGCCGCGCGGTGAAGCGCTCCAAGACGGCTCTGGGAGGCCTCCAGCGCCTTGCGCCAGGGCCAAGCAGCGCGCCGCTCCCGCGGGCCCAATGGGCGGCCCTGTGCGCGCTGGTGGGTGCTGCCCTGTTCTTGGGAGAGTTGGCGATGGCGCAGCGCCGTGATTTGTTTGCTGGTTTGTTTTTGTTGTTTTGTTTTCTATCGGGCCTACTTGCGACCGAGCGAGCGCCTGGGGATCTGGGCGCAGCAGTTGACGCCTCCGCTGATGGGGTCTGGCACCAGATACCGGGTCGGTCCTCCTTGCCCGAAGGGAGGCGGCTGTCCCGCCCGAGACGAAGGACTTCGACAAGTCGCTTCTCGTGAACGGCAACCAGCTGGAGATGTTGCGCCCAAGGTCCATATCGCGGAAGCGGCGCCCAGGCATGGCAAAGTTGCAGTCCGTCGGCGATCGCAACCTCTCGGGCTCGCCCAGGCGGGTCGGCGAGATGGCGCGGCGGGGCGGAGCCGACGTCGGCAACGGGGTCGCCAGCCGGCTCGGCGACGACCTCAAATTCGGGATCCCCGCGCCGACTCCACCAGCCGCCATCTCGAAGTAGGTGCGCAACGGACCCGCTCATCTGCGGGAACCGCAACGTCGGGTCAGAAAAGAAACTACGTGCGCGTGACAGTCGAGCAAGGCTGGGGCCATCATGCGCGGTGCCCTCCCGCCGCAACGATATCAACTCGCATGTCTTGAAACGTTTTAAATTGCTGACATTATTCGCAGAGGGGTTGAACAGCGAGGAGAAGTGTGTGCCAGTTGTGATGCCTGAAATGGGTCATAATTTCAAGCAGTGGTGAAGTGTCCTTGATCGCATATAGGCCCACCAACAATGTTCTAAGAACCTTTTTGGGGTTAACACGAAGAGTTATTCGAACATGTCTGGCTGAGTCTGTCTTGCTTTAGCACATCGGGCGCACGTTCTAAGAACATTTTTGGGTTCTAAGAACATCTCGTGGTAGGGCTATAGATATGCCAGGATGGTCGGTCCCTGCTTAACAATTTGACCTTGCCAATCCTGTCCTTCTAGCGGGTATGTTGGGCTGGGTCCCGGGGGGGAAGAATCACGAGTGTTTTCGCCGCGTTATTTTGTGGCGTCCCTCGAGATCCCCTCACATCGCCTGTTGGGGCGCTCCTGGACGCTCTTGGGGCCGTCTTGGGGCTCTCTTGAGCCTCTGTTGGGGCCTTCCTCTTAAAGCCGTCTTGAAGTTCTCTTGAAGCCTATTTGTGAATAGTGGGAGCCATCTTGCGGCATCTTACGCTATCTTGAGCCATCTTGGAGGTCACCTCGGGCTCTCCGAAGCCCTCTTGGAGCCGTCTTGGGCCATCTTGGGCGCTCCCGCTACCCGCGACCCCCCCCCCGTCCAGGTCCAGGAGAGGGGGTATGGGGGAGGCATCAAGGCTCCCCCTAGATAGCAAGCCGTCTAGCTTACCCCCACCCACCATCCCAACACATCAGTTTCACCCGAGTCTGAGCATGTTCAGCAGTCATCTTTGGATGGGCAGCATCTGGGAACCAAAACCGCCCCCATGTGCCCGACGCTGGGGCGAGGTGCGCCACGCGTGCCAGGCGCGCCAGGCACCCCTGGGGCCCGAGCGTAACAGGCACGCCTGGTGCGCCAGATGCGTCACGTGCTCCGAGTGCGCCAGGTGTGCCGCATACTCCAGCCGCGCCAGGTGCGCCGCGTTCGGGGAACGTGCAGAGTGTGTCAGGTGCGCCTCCGCACGTGACAGCACAGATCGGGAAACTTGTCGGCCCCCACCATCCCTATCGAAAACCAATGCCCATCATTGCGTCTGGTGGGCCTGCGCACAGCAGGCCATACGCCACCACCCCCGCCGTCCCTGTCAAAAACCACATGACAGTGATCGCGGGGTGGCCGCGCAGCCGCGAGGTGCATTTTCCACGTTTGGTTAGGGATGGTAGCCCTGCACACAGCAGGCAATATGCTGACACCCCCGCCGTCCCTGCCAAACAATACAAAGTGCCTCGCGGGCCTCACGAACATGACTCAAGACTTTGCCCCAAAGTGTACTGTGTATTGTTTTTTGTCAGGGGTGGTGGGTGGGTGTGATCATGGTGTCCTCATGGTTGCTGGTTGGCGGCCGGTCGCCTGGGGGAGGGGGGGGTGCTTATTAATAGGGAACAGTGATCAACCCCTACCACAAGGGGAAGAAGGGGATTGGAAGAGGAGCCTCCCTGGACCACCTTCGCCCAGAGGGCTGGTGGGATTATGTCGGGTCTTGTGGCATTACCGTGTCCCCTGGCGCTTCCGTGTCGTTCTATCACGCGGAGTTCAACCTGGAACGCCTTCGCCAGCGTCGACGGCGCGCCATCGCCGCATGAACCTACCGTAAAGTTCCTCTACACGGCGGCAAGCGAGGGGGGGAAGTTTCGGATTTGAGTTTCGAGGTAGTCGGGCGTTCTCGTTGGTTCTCGGCGGTTTTCCAGCCTCGGCATGCGTTCCGGCAGCTGCGCTTCCCCGAGAGCGATCTAGGAGGTGCCCGGATCGTTCCGAACGGTTGCCAGGGGCCCGAGTTATGACCCGAAACCAAATTAGGCGGCGAGCGAGAGGGGAAGTGACAAAGAAAAGGCTTATTCGGAATGCGGCGGGGTTTCTCGGAAGCCCTCGCGCTTTCTGGGAAGTTTCTTTGTCTTGGGGGAATGCTTAGAAAACTTGTCAGAAGGCGGAAGGACTTCAGACCCTTGTGAGAAGGCCCGCCCCTTCTCACTTACCCCACGCTCACCGCCCATCTACAACTGCTCAGGAGGGGATGCCTCGACCCCAATGGGCCGTGCGTCGCCGACAAGAGCCCGATTGTCCACCCCCCGCAGGAGCGTGCGGACTGTCGGAAGCACAGCGCCGAACTATCGGCGATGTATCGCAGATTGCAGGTCGACGCCTCCCCCCCCTGGCTGATCTCCCCTCAACGTGCCCTCTCGACGACGAGGTGGGGGCGCGGGGAGGACTCGGAGGCAAGGCCGGGGAGGGAGGGACGGAGAGGGTGGAGGAGAGGGAGCAGATGGCGGGAGGCACGGGCGGGGAGGGGAGGCAGGATGCAGGAGGAGCAAGCAGGAGAGGGAGGAGACAGGAGCAGGAGGAGCTGCCACCACCCCCCTGAGCGCGCCCCCCCTCCCAAAACCGGCCCGCCTTCCGAGCAGCGCCCCGGCCGCGGCGGCGAGGGGCGGAGCCTCCCGCGCCCGCAGCCGCTTCGCTTCGGGGGCGGGCCTCGGCACGGGCGGCCCACGACCGGGGCGAGCGCCGCGCGGGTGCCGATGGTGGAACCTTCTCCTGTTGCTCCTAGTCGTCGTCCTCCTCCCTTTTCCTCCTCCTCCTCCTCCTCCTCCTCCTCCCTTTCCTCCTCCTCCCTTTCCTCCTCCACCTCCTCCTCCTCCTCCTCCTCCTCCTCCTCCCCCTCCTCCTCCTCCTCCTCCTCCTCCTCCTCCTCCTCCTCCTCCTCCAACTCCTCCTCCTCCTTCCGAACCATTGTGGGTCTAGCACTTGCTGGTCCCAGGGGCCACTGGGCCGCGCGTGCGGCCCCTCCTCGGCGGCTCGGCGGGCCTGGCCTGGGTGTACGAGCGGCTGGCGTCTGGGCGGCGCTGCAGCTGCAGGCTGAACACGCACGTCAACAAGGCAGGTGGTGCTCCACTCCATATTGGAGCAGGAACATGGCGAGTGCAGGCAGAACTTCGCGGGTAGCATCGGCTGGCCTGGCCTGGGTGTACGAGCAGCTGGCGTCTGGGCGGCGCTGCAGCTTCAGGCCGAACACGCACGTCAACAAGGTAGGTGGTGCTCCACTCCATATTGTCGGGTCGGGCGAAAGGGGAGGATTGGGAAAGGGGGGGTTACGAAATTTGCTGCATGCAGCTGGTTTCGGCCTCGCCGAGGGGCCCATTCCTCGATACATGGCCGCTCCCGGCGCCGGGAGGCGCCGGGAAAATCAGCTACGTGAGCTGATTCTCAAACCCCCCCTTTGCTATCCCCCCCTTTCGCCCGACCCGATATTGGAGCAGGAACATGGCGAGTGCATGCAAAACTTCTTAGCTAGCCTGCTCATTAACTACCTGATGCAAAGCCTGGGTAGCTTCGTAGTTGTGGATGATGGCCATCGGAAGTTCAGTGGCGCCTGGCATTGCACATCCATCCTCAGAGGACATGATGGGGACGACCCTGATGAACATGGTGGCGACGAGGATCACGACGGACATCATAAGGATCCTCTCGATGATGGAGGTCCTGGCGGTCGGCGCCGACGGGGACGAGATCCTTGGCTTGAGGATGGTGCTAACGGTGGTCATCGACGAGCCGTACTTCTTGAGGTATTGCCCGTAGCAGTACCGCCTTTCACCTTCAACAAAGAGGCCGTTGTTTTCACCCTGGAGGCCAGGCTGCGGAGGTCTATCCTGAGCCTGCGGTGCAGTTTCTTGGAGCTACAACTGTGAGGAGATCCAACCCACGCTTACTGAAGTCTATCGAGGTCAAGGCTGGGATCTCGGCCAGGTCGTCGGATCTTGCGCTGCAGTAGATGCTCCAACGTCTTCCCTGCATGACGAGATGCTTTGACCCCGGGTTCGCATACGTGTAGCGTTTATGGGATAAGCATTGCAACGTATTGCCTTTCCGCATTGCGTGCCAAGTGGCTGCAAATACATACAATACCGCATCCGATGTACGACACGTTCAACATCACCTGCGGCTACCGACGCCAAGTGAGGAACGTGTAGTCCCTCCTGTAAGTGGGCATGTTCTCCGTTGTCGAGAGTTTGCACGAGGAGCTTTCGCGGCTGCTGGTTATACTGTACAGCGTGAAGGCGATGGTGCGACTAATTCTCGCCACGGTAGTGCTGGTTCTCTTCATGATGGTGCCCGCTCAATGTCGCGTGGTGCGGGAGATGTGCTACACGAGTCGGGACATGGAGCTTAAGGGCGATGGCGGGGTGTTGGTCCCGTTAGTGAACATGTGTCAGCGTTCCGCGCTGCCACTGTAGCTGTTTGTAGGTCAATACGTGGTGGTGGCCGAAGCGGGGTACATCGGTCGAGTCGGGCTGGTGGCATCTGTCCTCGAGGGTGATGTCCTAATGTTCGAAAGCTGACTGACGGTGAGCTTGTGGGGGTGAGGGGGCATAAAGCTCGCGAGACTTCCAACCTTTCTGGCACGAAACAGTGGGAGGGCACGGTGGTGGAACAAGCTTTACCGGATTCAGAGTGTTTGATGTGCAGCAGTCACCTATTCAAGACATGCTCGGCTACTGGAATTGGTGGGAGTCTTGATGGTGATATATGTATACATATATATATATATATACATATATATATATACATTTATATATACACATATATATATATTTATATAAATTACACACATGCTCCCCTACTGGCATTGGTGGGGGTCTCTGATATATTTCAAACAGGTTCACCTACTGGCAGTGGTGGGACTCGTGGTGTTGCATTGGTGGATGTCTCTGTGTATGTCTCAATCACGTTCATCTCCTGACATTGGTGGGGGTTCCGTTTTATTTTAATCATGTTTTTTGTTTGGCAACGGTGGGCGGCTCATGATGTATTTCAAACGTGCTCAGTTACAAGCGTTGGTGGCACTTTGGAAGCATATTACCTGCGTTCCGCGTTCGCGGTGTGACTGGCCCACCCCACGCGGCCCCCCCGCTGCTCGTCGAAGCGGCGCCCCTTCCTCCCCCCCCACAGAACTGCACCTCCTCCATTGTCTCCTCTTCCTCCCCATCCTCCTCCTCCTCCCCCCTCCCTCCTCCTCCTCCTCCTCCCTCCTCCTCTCCTCCTCCTCCTCCTCCGCCTCCTCCTCCTCCTCCTCCTCCTCATCCTCCTCCTCCTCCTCCTCCTCCTCCTCTGCCTCCTCCTCCTCCTCCTGCCCGACTCGAGGAGCGCAGGCAGTAGTTTTTGTTACCGGTGTCCTTCGTGATGGCTGGAGTTACCCATCCCCAGAAACCCACGAGAGCTGCATCTCTCTCCAAGAAATCCCAGAAATCCCAAGAAATCCAAGAAATCCTGATTCCAGTTACATTACTAGAATCCCAAGAAAACCGAAGAGGTTGTTTGTGGCGGCGAATTCCACTGGTTCGTCTCGTCTCTTGTTCCTCGGCATGACGCAAGCGGCTCCTGGAGGGAATCGAATTTCAACACATTGCATACACATGATGTTTCTGAATTCCATTTGGATTTCTTGGGTCGGCGCTGACGGCCGCCAGGCCTCCGGCGCCACCCCTCCAGCGTCGATCCAATAGATCCGCGCGGATTTCCGAACGTTTTTATGTATATGCTTGTTTTTGTTGGGGAGAGAGGTGTTGGACATTACTCATGTGTTGTGAGGTGTCCCAGGTCCCAGCGCCTTCGGAAAACAGTTCATGACGGACATTTCGCCTCAGGGAAAGCTCCGAGGTCCTCTGCTGTCGGGAGCCAATTGCCGATATATCTGCGATACATCGCCGAGTCCAGGACGACCCTTCCACTCCTGAACCGGTTCCTCCCTCTCACGTTCCCCCTCAGTCCTCCTCGCCCTCCTCCACATCCCGCGTGCGACCTGGTCGATGCGTCCCCTCCCAGGCCGCCCCCCCCCCCCCCTGCGTTCCCCCTCAGTCAGGATCCTCCCCCTTCCCCGCCTCGCCCTCCGTCGCGCCCCGCGCGCGCCCTGCTGTGCTTCCAGTGCTTCCCGCCCCTCCTGAAGACCGCGGGCGGCGCGGCGAAGGACAGCCTCGCGCTCTGCAGGGCGCTGGTGGACGGTTTGGGCTGGGAGGTCACCGTGGTGACTCAGGCGGGAGGCGCAGCCGAAGAGTTTTGGTCTGCGGCGGGTTGGATCCAAAAGTTGCGGTCAAGCGAAGCGGGGGCGCTGTTGAGCTAATCAGGCACAAGGGCGGGGAAAGGCAGGAGAAAGGGGGGGAGAAAGCCGCAGACGGCCAGAGCGCCCTCATAGTGTGTAGTTGTTCGGGTGTGCCGGAGGCAGGCTCGGGTCCTTGCGTTGCGGGAGCATTGCGCATCCATGTGGTGGAGATGGGTCGTCCATCCAGCCGACTCGGTTTCAGGGTGCTCCCGTCTTTGAGTTGGTGGTTGTTCGTTATGTTTAGTGTTGCTCTCTCTTTCGCTCCCTTTCCCTCTCTGCTTTTCCCTCTTTGCGTATCATGAATCAGTTTGCTGATTCAGTTTGCTGATATATTTCTCTCTGTGCCGATATTTCGCGTCCCTATCGCTTATGACGTAGTTCGTTGTATGTTTGTATGCATGTGTATGTATGTGTGTGTGCACGGATGGATGGATTTCTATATGTGCATGTTTATGTGTATGTATGATTGTGTATGTGTTTACGCGTGTGTGTGTGTGTTTGTTTGTATATATGCAGGTATGTGGTTGTGTATGTGTGTATGCATGTATGTATATATGTGTGTATGGATGAATGTGTGTATGTATGTATGTATGCATGTATGTGTGTCTGCGCATGTATGTATGTATGTATGTATACATGTGTTCAAGTATGAATGTGTGTGTGCATGCATGCATGTCTGTATGCATGCACACATACATGCACACGTACGTATGCATGCAGGTATGTGTGTATGTATGTATGTATGCATGCATGCATGTATGCATGTATGCATGTATGTATGTATGTGCATGTGTAGATACGAATGCATGCATGCGTGCACGTTTGTGTACGTGTGTATTCATGCATGTATGCGTGCATGCATGTATGTGTGTATGTGTGTATGCATGTATGTAAGTATGTATGCACGTACGTATGTATTTATGTATGCATGCATGCCTGTATGCACGCATGTTCGTACGTATGTATGTCTGTATGCATGTATGTAAGTAGGTACTACACAAGTATGTGACGGCGTCCGCGCTTCGTGCAATGCACATTGGTCCCTCACTTTGATATGATGGCATCATGAGAAGCACGCATACATATCATGATAGCGATCGCTTTTGGCTGCAGTTTTTGCCATCGCCGTTATCATATTGTTGTTCCCTCTCGTTCAGGCTCATTCCCCATGTTTCCTCTTCCCTCTCCTCTTCCTCGTTCTCACCTTTTCCCCGTCCTCAGATTTGCTTGCGGAGGCTCCTCCGACGCCAGCTTACCGAGGACCTCGCGAAAGTTTTGCAAAGGAGCTCCTTGGGCGCCTCTGGAGACGTCCTGGCGCATTTTGGCGGCCTCGGGGGGGCTCCTCACGCCATCGTGCCGCGAACCGTGGTCTCGGGTCACGGTTTGAGATTCCGGAGGGCGTTTTGGGGCAATGTTGGGTTGTCATGGGGCCGTCTGTGGGGAGTTTCTGAGCCCTCTTGATATCTCGGGGCTGCCTTGGAGAGCCAGGAAGTCTTTTTGGGCCGCTTGGAGCGGTTTTCGGTGCCTCCCGGGTGTTCTCGGACGGCCAGAAGACCGAACGAAAAAAAGATTAGCCTGAAATCAAGTACGAACACATGTGGCATCATGTGTTTCTTTGTTTCGCAAGCCTCTCGGGGGGTGATAGTTGGACCGTCTTCGGCAATCTGGCAGGTCCGCGGCCGCTGGAGGCCATCTTGGACCGTTTCCGGGGTCTCATAGGGCCGCCGACCCGTTTGTGCTGCTCGGCAGGGATTTCCAGAGGCCCGGAAATCTCGCGGGATCCCCCAAGGGGGGCGTCGAGGAGTCCCAGACGCCGGGGATCCCGTTTCGGGGCGGGGGCGGGGGGTCCGCACCCCCTGGATCAGCACCAACAAACATGGAAGGGCATATAGAAGTTTGTTGCTTGACGTTGCGGTAGCGGTTGCTCTTTCTCGCGCTCTGCACGCGCAAGAAGGATGGGGGAGATGGTGAGGGCAGCGGTCGGTTGCAATTTCTTTTTCTCACTCTCCACGCAACGCAGAGTGTGCAATGGGGGGGCGCGCTTACCCTTCACACCCTACGCGCAGAATGCAGTGGAGGAAATCGGAGGGGATGAGGTCTCTCTCTCTCTCTCTCTCTTTCCCTCTCAATCATTCGTTCTCTATCTTTCTATGCCTCTTTTTTTCTCCACGCACGCAGCGCGGAGAGCGAACTGGGGGGGAGAACGCGGCTGCTCTTTGATTGCCGGGGTGGGTCCGGGCAGGGTGCGGGTTTCCAGTCAGGGCGATTTCTAAAAAGCCTCCCAGGGATCTTGTCGGGCACCTCCCATAAGCGTTTCGGGTACCTCCAGAAGCCGTCGGTGACATCCGTGCAGCTATCAGAATCTTTCCAGAAACCGATCGGAAACCTCCTGGAAGCCTTTCAGAAACCAGAGAATTGTTCTAGAAGGTCATAGGGAGCTTCCCTAGGAAACCTTCCTAGGAACAGATCCTACAAGCCTCCCAGATTCATTTTGGAAAAGTCCCAACAACTTACCTGAATCATATTCACAGATTCACAAACCTTCCAGACACCCATTGGAAACCTCCAATAAGACCTCCAGAAGTTGACCGGGAGCCTCTTGGACGCCTCTCGCAAACCTCCTGCAAGCCTCCTTGAAACCACCCATCAGCTAGTCGAGAACCTCACAGGATCCTTCCAATAATCCTGGCAATAGCCCCTCGGCAAATTCTAAGCAACGTTTCGGGAACCTCCCATGAGCCTCTCGCAAACCCCTGAGCATCTTCTTGGGAACCTCTCATTATCGCAGTTCCCTCAGGAGCTTCTTCGACCCCCCCCCCGGGACCCTCTCGGAAACATCTCTGGGGCCTCGAATGCGCCGATCATAAGCCCCTCAGGAGCCTACCATCAGCTTCCCGGAAGCTTATCATGAGCTTCAAAAGGGTTCACAGGAGGCTGCTCAGAGGCTCTCAGGAAATTGCGCAGGGGTTTTCAGGAGGAGGCTCCGAGGGGCTGCGCATGAGCTGTCAAGAGGCCGCGCGGAGGCTCCCAGAAGGCCACCTGGAGAGAGTTGCCGTGGTCTGCAGAAAATGCGAATGTATGTGCTAAATGCGGGTGGAGTCCTAACCCTTCGCGGTGTTGCCATGGGTGCCCGAAGCGGCTGTAAGTGATACTATTCTCGAGGAGGCGGAGGAGGTGGCAGAGGAGGAGGAGGAGGCGGCGGAGGAGGAGGAGGAGGCGGAGGAGAAGAGGAGGCGGAGGAGGAGGAGGCGGCAGAGGGTGGGGGGCGAGGGCGACGTTGAGTCGTTGTTTGAATTTCCTGCAGCGAAGGCGTCGCACGATCGTTCGAAAGCGGCGGTTCCTCCTCGTGCTTGCTGTGGTTGCTCCCTTTCCTTCCTTAGGATGCACCTCCTGGGAGATTCAATTCAGAATTGGCGCTGGTATATCCTTGATTGAAAGCTGGTATATTCTGGCAGATTCCTGGCTAGTCCCGCTGAATCATGGCCTAATCTGGCTTACTACCGGGCTTATTCTGGGCGAGTCCAGTTTCCTTATTCCTGATTCTGACTTGGTCGCCCTTACTCGTTCTTACGCAGACCTCCCTGGAGTTGCCTCCAAACCGTCCTCCTGCGTCCTTGGGGAAAGGAAGGGGGTTCAGGACGGAGGGGGTCCGCGGACAACTTGTATGCAGCGTACCGCGCTGGCGTCTTTACATACGCCGATCCTCG